CCCTCTGGAGCTGTCAGAGCGGCTTTTTGAATGTGGTCACCTGTTCCATGGTCCAATCAGCTGCGCACCACTCTTCATTAGGGGAGGGACCTGTAAAGAGTCTTAAACACAGTAAAGAGACACAGAACAAACAACCCACACAGTGTTCTTATGGCCGCAGCCGTAACACCCATAGATTCTCTTTGGAGTTCAGGTCAGGTGAGTTTTCTGACCAATGAAGCACAACAATCCCATGATCATTGAGCCAGGTTTTGGTACTTTTGGCAGCGTGGGCAGGTGCCAAGTCCTGCTGGAAAATGATGTCAGCATCTCCATAAAGCCCGTCTGCAGAAGGAAGCTGGTAGACGGCTACATTGCCACAGGATGTCCAGAACTCAAAGGACAAATATCAGCCAGAGAAAATTCATTGAATTGATTTAAAATAGCTGTTTTAGGTCCTCCTCCTTTAACCCTTTCATGCATGGATTATGATTTTTCTCTTAAGTACTTTAATTCATCTTTTCATGCCTAAAGATGAAATCCCTATTGAGGTTGGCATACTTCATCCATGACAGGGTTAAATAGCAATAATTACAATGAAACACAACATACATCTCTAGTAACATTAAACGACCAGTGGGTGGCAGGGTATGGCGTGACACATCAGTGTCCAGTGTGGTGGTTTATGTGCAAGTATACCATCAACACTGACACAAATACAAGAAAACAGCCTTTGAATAGCTGTCCACTGTAGTGACCACTATGCGTGAAAGGGTTAAGGAGCAAAGTTACCTTTAAGCCAACCCTGCTGTGATTGGCTGCCCCTCGCAAACAGAAGGTTTGAACACTAGGTATCTGTGTGTCTAAAACTATGTATGGCTGTGGTTCATTGGGCAGAGCTAGTTCAGTCCCCAGTTCTTACAGTCTGCATGTAGAAAGTATCCTTGGGTAAGATGCTGCCTCCCAAGCAATATCTCTGTCTAAATAAATAAATAAATCTGGGTAAATTCCCAGATGATTAAACATGGAACTATTTTGCTGGTAATACCTGAAATGAGTAAAGAAAATCAACTTATTTATACCTATTTATGCAAGATAATTCATAACTTTATTGAGGGGGTTATATTGGTTGGGTCTGATTATTGGGGGGGTCATAACCTCCCTAACCACCCTGGAAATTACGCCCCTGCTCCCAAGTGTCCTCAGATGCTTCTATCAGTGTGTGTGTGTGTGTGTGTGTGTGTGTGTGTGTGTGTGT